TGACTAAACTATTCCTAACAAAACTTAGGCAGCATGAGGCAACAAAAAGAATGAATTTATAATCCAAGAAAACTTCCTAGGTGTCTTCAGATAGGGCATGCCAGACATTCTGAGAATGATATTCTTGGAGCAGATTATTCCTACATCCAAAAAATTATATGGTTTTAAAAACTGCCATGCCTTCAGCCCTCCACAGTGCCCTGCTGGCTGTGTGCAAACTGCTTCAGAGCATGTAAAGCAGCTCACCTTATTATCTGGTGATGTAATATTTGGGGGACAATATCTCAGGGGTATGACTTACGCCTAAGCTTCTACAATTACTTCTGACCACACAAAGTTTGTACAATAAGCCAACTTTTTGCCACCTATGTCCTGTGGTAGGTATCTCACCACTTGCTAGTACTGCCTAAATGAAGTGGGGGAGCGGTGCTTTCGTAAGGACACAAGGAAAATAATATTGATCCCAAATACCAAGAGAAATACGTTGGAGGGGTACACAGTGCTCTTTGCTGCTACCTAGCATACCTGATAGTTGCATTAAATCAGCATTGTTTAAAGTAAAATCTTTGGGATTGTTTGCTATATCTCAGCAACCTTACCTGGAGCTTGAAAATCTTTAACAAATTGGTACTCTAATGAATGCAGTCTCACACACTGTTATATGTTAACATGGACTGCTAACAGTCCAAGTAAATGTCATTTATTAATTACTTTGTCCCTGCATGGCCACAAAACAGAATTAAGCAAGGCATAGATTCACCATGACCTTGACCTAAAAACTTGTAGTATTCCAAAAAAATTCCCAACTTCTCTGTCTTAGCATACTCAAAACACACTTGGAAAGCAGGGGCAAGGTGTGTGGTAGATAACAGCATTCTTGGGGAATAAATGTTCCAGAGGAAAAATTTCAGTTTAATTCACTAAATAAATAAATTCAGCAAGTCTCTTAATGTAACATTTTTGAGAATGGAGGAATTCAAATGCACACCTGTAAGGACACTGTAACCATGCCACAGAAATGCAGATGATTCAGACAAGATGCTGTAGGAGTATATTCTTTCTTAATTATTTCAACCTCGATGAGGCTGTCATCAAGTAACCTATTAGCCATCCTGAAACAACAAATCTAATCAACATAAAGCTTTCAGCAAGACAAGTCACTAAAGCATATGTTTCTCATGGGATTTGTAGGGTACAAAGACATTCCAAAACAAGGAAGATGCATAGTCATCCCAAGTTTCTTTTTTAAAGAACTGTCACCTTCAGAGTCAGTATTAAAACAGGACTGAAACTTTTTTTTTTTCTAGCACATACTGCCTGCAAATGTTAATGTGTATATCAATATAGTGGCAAGAATAGGATCCAAAGCCCTATCTTCTGAGAGAGACTGAAACCTCCACAGACCATATTAGACTACCCAATCACCCTCTCACAATCAATGCTTCTGAGGCACTCAGCATCACTCAGGTCACCACTGTTATGGTTCTCATGGGGCAAACCAATGTGAAAGGATGTTCGAAAACAGGAAAAATTATCTTATCACATAGGTATTCAGAACAAGACAGATCCTTCTTCAAGGACCATTGTCAAAAAACGTGTCCCAGCATGTCCATTACAGTTTCAAGCCAGATTTGTATATTGTACTACAGCAGATACTGAAAAGAGAAAAGCAGGACTCCTATATATGCAAAGGTGCCTGTTACCCGAACACGTGAAATAGAACTTAAATCTGCAGCCAATACGTACACATTAAAAAGCAGAGAGGAGGCTGGAGCACAGTTAAAGCTCATCTTTCCAAAGGGCTGTTGTCAAACAAGAGCAGCATAACATCACTGTGTTAGTACCACACATGAGAGAACAGCAGACAAAACAAGCCTTAGCAGCAACCTACACCATGGTATAAACCTCAGAGTTGGGACACACACACACACAAAAAAAAACCCCACCCTATAAACCCAAACAGCCAGGTTGCCTCAAACCATGCCTCCCTGGGGACCAAGAGAACTGAATACAGAAAAAGAACACAAGACCTGCATTCAGGGTAGTTTCTTCCCAATTTGTTGCCATCAAATACAATCCATATGAAAAAAACCTCTTGCAGGAACAGCTCTAGGAAAACTTGCAGCTCTGCACCTGTACTCATGTGACATAGCAGTTGCGTGTTAGGACAGGATTTGAACCCAGACAAGGCTGGCATCAGCATCTTACACTCCCCATTATATAAGCAATTGCAGCTTAGCCAGCACACCCAGATCACAAACAATTATGCCTCCAGGATCATACCTTTGGGTATCGCAGTAAGAAATCCTACTTGCTAGTTAGAGCACCAGTTTAACAGCCAAGGCTATCCTCACCACTCTCTATCCACTAGGTGAAATGACACAGGAATGACAAATACTCTGTTCAACACATCCTTGACTTACAAGTGACAGAGAGTGAATCCAGCATCTGACTCAGACTTAACTTAGTCTCTGAAGTCTTACAGTTCCCTACTTACAATGTAGCCACACTCACATTATACATTATATTAATTTTCTTTACTACTTTGAATATATTTGTTCAGGGGCTAAATACAAGAAGTAACAGTGAAAATGTCTGTGGAGATGCCACTTGCAACCCATGAGACAAAAACGGAGCTACACTTCTCTCCCAGGTATGCTCATTTGTATGAAAGGGTGTAAGGACTCCCCGGTTAAGTCAAAATCCTACACTAGCCCTTACTGTTATAACACATAAAATAATCTGAAGATGACTTGAGCAAGTTCCTGTGTATTGCATGCTCTGACAGTGCCTAGCTTCTTCTGAACATCTCAGGTCCTCTGACAACGTAGACAGCCAACTCTGAAGAGCCTATTCTATTCTCCCCACATCAGTAGGGGTGTGGAAGGACCAAAGTAATGTGTTGATGTCCCTATTCTGGGACAAAGCCATGTGCCCTTCATGTCCATATGGGACAGAGAGCCTTTGCATTCAAGAAACAACCTTGAATGCAGGTACTATGGTCTCTATTTTTGCTTCTATTAGTCCTTGGGGAAGGATGTTGTTAGGCAACCTGTAGTACTTCACGCAGCATCACCATGTAAGTTCCATTTGTCATGTCATGACACAACAGTTTCAGTTTTTCACTCCAGAGAGAAAAACATACAGCAGCAACAGCCAGTCTGTACATAGTATAGGATGTATACACACTGCCACATTCCATGGCAAAGTACTTAGGCAGTAAGAAATGAAAAAACTATAAAAACAGCTTGTATTAAGCCATACAAACATTGTTGCTCACTGAAAATGTGATTGCATTGAGTCTGTGCTAAGGCAGCTGTGAAGCAGCATGTGTTTTCTAGCCCTGTTGGACTCATTTATGCCAAGTTCATTTGAACTACCTCATCTGCTAATAGCAAGTCCCAGCAGGTGGCATTATGTTACAAGGAAACACTACCCTGGTGCCAGTTGCCTTCCCCTCAGCTCTACAAGTTCAGAGGGGACTTCTTTTTGTTCAGGCATAGCTCTGACTTCTTGAAACTGTGTTTTTTCCAAGCCCAGCATACAGTCATTTCATATGGGTGGAAGTCTGGAGGAACAAAGCCAGAGGGTAAAGCTTTATGTAACTTCTATCTTCATTCTTGCACATCTGTTTCAAAATCCCTTACCTTCCTGTGCTCACTGAGGCAAGAATAATCTTGATTTCTGCACAGGCACCGTATACAGCAGGCTGATAATACCTGCTGTGTCTCCTGGTATGCTCAGGTCCAACTTCTCTAGGAGCCAGACTCTAGGGAAGAGGTAAATTCAGTGCCAAAACACCTCTGAATTCAGATGCTAGTGAGACATAGAAGGTTTAAGCACAGGTATGTGAATGCAGATGGCTACAGCTCAGTTAAAAATAATCCAGAATAGCAGTCCCAGACCCTGGGGGTTTCTAGACCTGTTAAATAATGACAGCTGAGGCTGCAGCTAGAGCAGGCCCCACAGAACTGTTGCAATTTCTAGCACTAATATTCAGTCCACCCTCAGCTACCCTTCCCTCTCTTTCCCCAGTTCTGTATGGTTGCCTTTGTTCCTGAGATTAGAAATTGTATTATGTAAGTGAAGCAAAGCCCTGCTGTGTAGCCCTGAGCTACAGGAGAGGTTACAACAGCAGTCCTTAGCTTAGTCCATGCCCTTGCATGCTGCTGAGTCATGCTGTATGGTTATGCACAAACAAGCACAAGAAGCTGGACTTACAACTATGAAAATCTGGTGGTAGCTCTTGTGACCTAGTAGTTCAGGGCCATACATAGACTCAAGAGTCTGCCAGTGTGAGATGTAATTTCCTCATCTTTATTACTGAGATGTTGACCATGAAGCATCTAGCTCCCCAGTGACTGTAGCTAGGTAAAATAAGAGGTAGGCATCAGTGAAGAACTGGAGTAAGCAGAACCACTTAAAAAGGAAAACACTTAAGTGTAATCAATCCATTTAACCATGGAAGATGTATAGAAGAAATTAGATCAAATTAATTCTAGTTCACTAGTTAGAGTTTCTTCAGCCTTTGCTTTGCTTGGTATCCTGCTAGGTTGTACGGACACCTGTATTAATGTATTTATTAAAGTATAAGAGCCTTTACTCAATATGACACTAACTGTTCCTTGTTTAATCACTGGAAGGGTGCCTTTTCTATGCATGAGATCCTGGCATTTGATAATTACTCTTTCTGACAAGATCAGGAGTTCCTCTACCACTCTATTGCTATCAAAAGAGACAGCACTTCAGTAACTTTTTCTTTTTTTTTTTTTTTTTTTTGCACCTTTTACCACCCAGAAAAATCTAATCTGTATTTAATATTTTTTTTGTGTGGAAAGAAGCATTACTACAGTGCCATAAGCAGAAGCTAGCCAGACATTTTAAGAATGAAGTCCATTTTATGCTAGGCAGTTTGGGCCGACTATTAAGTCTCTTTTGCCACCTCCTGGCAAACTCCACAAATTACAGTTTCTCAAGAACACGCACAGTTCTTAGCTGGAATGTCGAGTTCAGGTGCTCAGGGTGATGGAAAACTCCTGGGAGCAGAGGTACGGTGAGTTGTGCTTACAGACCAAGCAATGCAGAGCAGCTTGAACCAGCAGAGAAGCTGGTGCTCACGTCTGACAGAGCTTATGTCAGAGAGCTGGGCAAAGAGGAATACAATGAGATTCAACAAGAGCAAATTCAGAGTCCTGCACCTGGGAAGAAACAGCAAAATGCACCAGTACAGGCTAGGAGCTGATCTGCTAGAGAGCAGCTCTGTGGAGGACTCTGGAATCCTGGTAGACATGTTATCCATGGGACAGCAATGTGCCCTTGTGGCTAAGGTCAATGGTATCTTGGGGTGCATTAGGAGCAGTGTGTGCAGCAGATCAGGGAGGTTCTCCTCTCCTTCTACTCTGCCCTGGTGAGACCTCATTTGGAGTATTGTGTCCAGTTCTGGACTCCCCAGTTCAAGAGGGACAGGGATCTACTTGAGCGAGAAAGTCCAAGGGAGGGCTACAAGGATGATTAAGGGACTGGAACACCTGCCTTATGAGGAAAGGCTAAGAGACCTGGGGCTTTTCAGTCTAGACAGGAGAAGACTGAGGGGGGATCTAATTAATGTCTATAAATACATGAGGGCTGGGCATCAAGAAGGCAGAGACAACCTCTTCTCACATGTGCCCAGTGATAGGACTAGCGGCAAATGGATTCAAACTAGAGCACAGGAAGTTCCACCTCAACATGAGGAAGAATTTCTTTACTATGAGGGTTACAGAACACTGGAATAGGCTCCCCAGAGAGGCTGTGGAATCTCATTCTCTGGAGGCTTTGAAGACCTGTCTGAATGCCTTTCTGAGTGATCTACCCTGGTTTTTGGTCCTGCTCTTGCAGGGGGCTGGACTCAATGATCTTTAGAGGTCCCTTCCAACCCCTAACATTCTTTGATTATTCATTCTGATGTCTGCACTGTGCTCTGCAGCTCTCTGACAGTATTCAGTTGCTCAGATAAAACATTACAAAAAATACGTATTTCTGGGACCTCTATATACTACTATGTCTGATTCCTGGCAGGCCCACAATCATGTCAATGTAGCATTCTTTGTTCTGGTCCTGCAAGAGGTCAGGGTTCACTTTCTTGGGCTGTACAGGCTGTGGAGGGGTGCTTGCCTTCTCCCATCTTTCACAATTCCCCTTTGAGGTTATGCATCACTCCCAGCCAGGATTTATCACAAGCTGAAGGAGGCCACCTCTTTCCAAAATCTGTGCAGTACATCATATTTATATGTCAAAGATCAGCATTCAAACCAGATAATCAACATCAGTGTATTAATAGCAAGTGTTTGGTATGCTAGGACTGGGTCCAGAACCCAATGTAACTGGAATTTTCCCTAGGCATTTAAATGAAAAAAAAACAGTTGTACAGAAAAAAAATAATAATATTCAAGTCAGATGTCTACTCAGTGTCTGTGACATGCTCTATCACTGAACTATTTCCCAACTGATTAGCAAGTTTCCAACTCAATGCTAAAAAAGGTAGATAGGAGGTTGCTATTACAACTTTCTCCCCTCTTTCCAAGCTATGAGCAAGGAAGGAACACAGCCTTCTGGTTTGCTGCCTTCTTACCAGAATGAGAGAATCACAGGAACTCATCAGAGAATACTGGCAATTCTTGCCTCTTCCTTCTTAAGTTTTTTGCAAAGACATAATATCATGAGTGATTACAGGGGTGTAAGTACCAGATGCTGCAGGTGAGGAAAAGAATCCGTGTGTGTGCTGGGTTTGGTTGGCACAGAGTTAATTTTCTTTGTAGTAGCTAGTATGGGGCTATGCTTAGAATTTGTGCTGAAAACAGCACTGGTAACACATGGATATTTTATTTATTGCTGAGCAGTGCTTACACAGATTCCAGGCCTTTTCTGCTTCTCACAGCACCACACCAGCATGGAGGGGCTGGGGACACAGCAGAGACAGCTGACCCCAACTGACCAAAGGGATATTCCACATCACAGAACACTGTGCTCAGCAATATAAAGTTGGGAGAAAGAAGGACAGGAGAACATTCAGTCTGATGGTGTTTATCTTTTCAAGTAACCATTACATGTGATGGAGCCCTGCTTTCCTGGAGATGACTGAACATCTGCCTGCTGATGGGAAGTAGTGAATTATTTCCTTGTTTTGCTTTGCTTGCGTGTGTGGATTTGCTTTACCTGTTTGTCTTTATTTCGACACATAAGTTTTCACATTTTTACCCTTGCAATTCTCTCCACCATTCCACCAGGTGGGTAAGAAGTGAGAAAGCTGCACATCACTTAGTTGCTGGCTGGGATTAAGCCATGACAATGAGCAAGGCTTGTACCAAGTAGCAGTTTCCAAGGGTTATAGGAAAATGGTTTTCAAGAAACCTCAGAAAATCTCCTGCCATATCTCCCTTTCTGATTTGTGAGTGACTGGACTGAGCTCTGATTAGCACAAAAAGACAAAATTCAGCTTTGCAGGATGTAAGAAAAGGCAATGCCAGAGGAAGAGTAGTGGGTTTCTACTTAAACAGAAGGGACACACACCAGCTAAGAGGCAACAGAAGTTCTGGTAGAGTGAAGGGCCAAGATCCTCTTCTCTTTAAGAAGGAATTATGTACAGGTAGTTTTGCCCTGAATTACATTCCTCCCTCCTACACACACACACAAAATCTGAACACCCACTGCACTTTCAACTCCAAAAGTTAGATGTCACTAGCTAGGGTTAACATCTGTGCATCCTTCTCCCCCCCACAGGCCTGCACCACAGCTCCCATGTTCCCTAAAATACTTCTAAGACTTTGCAAGCTGTAGGTGGGCAGATCAGTTAGCCAGTGTTTCTCCTCCTTTCACTGTCTCTCAGCTTACACAAAAAAAGCTGGTGGCAAAGACAAGATGAGAGGGAAGAGCAATATTGTCAGCAATTAATGTTGTTCTCTACCTTGTCTTTCAGCCCATGCCTTCGTTTCCATGTTCTGTTTCTCACCCCTATCTGCTGCTAGGCACATTAAGTGGCTGATGTTGAACCTGCTGTCACTCAGAAGCAGTGCAGGTCAGGGTCGTTCCTGAGGTTGCTAGAGTCACATATGTTGCTTTATATTTCTTGCTTCTACCTATATCACTTCAGCAAAACTCTGCAGGTGAGCAGAAACAGGAGAAAAAGTCCTTATTCTCTTTCTGAGGTTTCTGCTTCATAGGTTTTCTGCACCAAGGGCAATCTTTTTCATTACTTGACTGGGAAGAAGTGGCCTTGATTTCTCAGGCGTCCTTAAATGCTAAGAAAGAGGAAATACTGAACACTGGCAAACTTGCACTTATGGGCAGCCGGAGGCAGCAGGTGGTTACTTCACATGACAAGTATGAAACATGTCAGAGAATCACAGAATTACCAAGGCTGGAAAAGACCTTTAAGATCATCAAGCCCAGCCTGTGACCAACACCACCACATCAGACACCATTGTCTGACAGTGACCAATCCCAGGAATTTCATGTTTCAGGTTGAATTTAACCTAATGCCTACTGGAAAAATCCAGTCAAAGTGGAAAGACACAAATTTGGAGCACCAGGTGGATATTTCCATCTCACCAGCTACTTTGTAGCTCCGTTTCATGTCTATTTCACTCATTCAAGCAGGGGCAGCTGCCAGATCCAGGCAGACGGAATTCCTCTGCTGTGACCCAGTGGAGGCCGAACCAGGCACAGGCATTTATGCCATGGCACAGATCACACCAGAGGCCATGCCTTACGCTGGGCAGAGACAGTGGGCACAGAAAGAAAACCGGTCAGGTTCGTAGGGCAGGTAAGAGTTTTGCTGGGCACAGCCCAAGTGCTTGTGGGCAGCAGAGCTGAGGCCAGGCACGGCCAGCTCTGGAGTGACCGTTGTCACTCGGACGTGCGGCAGGCGCGCTCTGCCCAGCGGCAGTTGGTGTCTGACGGTGCCACACGCCGGCACCCGTGGCCCCCTGGGGTCTGGAAGGTTCTTCGCAGCTGGCAGTTGTAGCAGCGGTTGACACTTACTCCTCTAGCCTGGGACCTGCTCTCTGACCGTAATGGTAACTAAACTGCTCCCCCTCCTACCATCCGCAGCACAGCCCAGCCCAGCCCATGCCAGTCTCACTGGGAAGGCTGGAGTTTGTCCCCAGAACTGTGGGCTTGAGGAATTACTGTCCAACACTCACTTCAGATAGTCAAGTTCTGCTCTTTCTTGTTTCAGTCCCTCAGCAAGACTGCATTCCCACCTAATGGTGGCAGGCAAAAAAGAAGCACGTCTGAAAAAGACAATCAACTAAGAAAGAAATATGCTACTGTTAAAGATGTAAGAGTCCATCTCAACAGGATAAGTCTCCCTGAACACATGGAGGATTCTGGTAAAGCTTCTGCACAAACACAGAAGGTAAACATCTGGATAAAGTGTCCTGAATGGGACAAGATAGCAGACAAGATGTATATGCACAAAACCAGATTTAATGTAAACAGTCAAAAAGATCTTAAAAAATAGACTAGAAAAGGCATAAATCAGATGAGTGTTAGGATATTGGGGTAGCAAAACAGGGTACTATGATAATAAAACAAGAAGGTACCTTAACAATAACATACACAAATAACTGAATAGTCTGCAACTATTACACAAAGGCTGAGTGCTAGCAACTTGCTTATCAATGGGCCTTATGCTAGATCTACAGCAATGATTAATACCTCCAGGCAACGTGATAATACAGTGACTGCAGTTTTTTCTCTTTATTTTTTAACTGATCCTAAAGTCTTAGACGTTCCAAAGCTTAAAAGTTAAAGCTTAAGATTTAAATAATTCGTGTATAGGGATTTGATATTTCTTACCCTTAATTTGGCTAAGGCTGGGTGTCCCTTTTTCTCAACCTCCTGAGGAGTGACCATGCGAACAGGTGTCTCTACTGGAAGGGAGAAGGTCCAGCATACCTTCTAAGGAAAGTGTACAGGAGTCTCCTTGATTGAAGATGGGACTAGGCTTTTATAAATTGATTGGCTGCTGTCATTTAATTACTTAGCCATACCTCCAAAATCCCCTATTGGAGAACAATAGGGAAACAGAGGAAAAAGCCAAGAATGCCTTCTTACTCACCAAGCGAACTCTCTTCTTTATCTACCCGTTCTTGTTTCATTTCCATTTGGCCTAGCTGTGGATAGGCTGAGCTCCACGTTTTTAACACAGAAGCCTGACTGGTGTTACAGACATCAACTTAGCCTCGATTTGTACTTTCAAGGTTGTTACAAGTTCAGAGTTTGCTAAGCCCTTTCCTTTCCCATGGGAATCTTTCCATTCCAGGTCAGGGGCAGTGAAACAGACAGACAGAGTGAAAATGAATCACAAAGGAAGACTAAGGCAGGCACACTTAGGTACAGCATCCTACTACATTTTTTTTAGTTTTTGAACAGGGCAAAAGCACTTAATGGAAGCAGCCTGTTGCTATTTAGATAATAGTAGTGTTGAATTCAGGATAATGGCAAGATACTTCTCAAGGGAGAAAGTGGAGTTTCTACAAACAGGTGATGATCACATTTTAAAGTAGCAGTGAAAAAAAAGAGAAGGGCCCATGCTTGCAAGGTCTCTCTCATATTAACTTCTTGCAAAGCCACACTCTTCCAAGTAGAGGAGACTGCAGAAACAACCTGGAAAGCTGGAAAGCAAACTGAGGCAGAAGGAAAATTACTGTCCAACACTCATTTCAGATAGTCAAGTTCTGCTCTTTCTTGTTTCAGTCCCTCAGCAAGACTGCATTCCCACCTAAAAGTGGCAGGCAAAAAAGAAGCATGTCTGAAAAAGACAGTCAACTAAGAAAGAAATATGCTACTGTTAAAGATGTAAGAGTCCATCTCAACAGGATAAGTCTCCCTGAACACATGGAGGATTCTGGTAAAGCTTCTGCACAAACATAGAAGGTAACCAGGAAGACAAAGAACTGGGAAAAAGTGCCAAAGGTACCTAACTGTCCACATACATATATAAAGTATGCCTCGTCTTGAAAAGTCCATCACACATTATTAGTACACTTTTCAAAATTTCTGAGTGTTTGACCGCCTGTTCTAAAACATTTTCTATTTGAGAACCTTGCAATATTTTTAAGTATCTATAATGCTGATATTTTGTATCAGAGATATTGGTAGAGCTAGAAAACTCTGACTCTGTTGATAGCCCTGTGTTATCACTGGTTTTTCTGTGCATGACAGCTAAAATTTGAAGTGTTGTCACGTAAGCCTCTACAGGCAAATAAGCACTTCAGTGTGACCTTCCAAATTTTAAAGCATTCTTTTCGGAACTCCAATATTACTTCCCAGAAAACTGCTAGATATTGAGTAAAAAAGTACATTCTTTCAATGAAAAATTTCTCTCCAGTCAAGAGAGAAAGGCTGGTTCAAAATGGGAGCTTTGCATTAGATACTGTGAAATCTCTCCACTTTATCAAAATGAGCTCACTACATGGCTTAGTGGCCCATGCCTTTCAAGACCAGTCAAGTTTTCCTCACTACTATTAATCCTAAAATGCCACGATCTGTCTTTTCTTTCAGTTCTGGCAAAAACTGCAGACAGAATGTCAACTATTGCTGGAGTCTTTTCCAGGTCTATATTTTGGCTGCCATTCTTACATCTGCAACTGAGAGTAGAAAAAAAAGCCTGCCAACCTCTTCCTGCTAGTGATGGTTTGCAATCTGTTTGTCCCGATGTGTGGCTCACAGGCAGAAACAAGATGCTTTTCGTACCTGTGGGAGGCTCTTTTTGGTTTGGGCATATTGCCATTGACTTTTAATTAAGGTGCTAGGAGCACAAGTTAGGTATGTTTAGTCATTGCTCTACTTTTGAAAAAGTCTTGCCCTATGGTCTTGCTTAGAAAATTACTTGGCAGTTTTGGCTGGTGTTATCAGAGGCTCTCAGAACAGATGGCTTCTTCCTCTGATCCCTGAGATTTTCAAACTGTCAGTCGTGACTGGCCTCCTATGTCCATTATGTATTTTTCTATGGCAAAGCTCTTAAGATTGTTTCAGCAGCCAGACTGAAAGACTTGTGATAAGGCAAACTGAGGCAAACTTTTCAAACAAAACTTTCCAAAGTGTATGCTGAAAGACCACAGGTAAAACTATTTTTTCTTTCTGTCAGTACCCAAATGAAGCATCCACTGTAAGAAAACTAGCACTGGCTGTAATTTTTCCTACAGTTTCTTTCCCAGTATAAATGGAAGAGCGCATTCTCTCGACAGTCAAATTTTGATGGTGTTTCTCCATCTATCCACATTATTATTTCCCAACACATGGCATAAAAATCAAATAAGATCAAATACTTAGTGAAACCTTACATGCTTGGACTTCTGTAACTGTTTTACGAAGATTCTTCCACTTTCTGTACTGCTACTGAGAACTTTCCATTACCAATAGTGTTATTAGTAGTTCTCATTAACCTAAACTGTTATTGTGACAGCATTTTTAATATTTTCTGTTGACATGTCATTTTCTTTGCAGATGACATTCACTTTGTTATCTTCTCTCATATTCTGCAAACTTTTGCTCTTTGCAGTTAAGACTTTATGAAGTAATAAAAGGGTGCTGTATCTTTAAATTGTTGTTCCTTATTTCTGTCTTTCTCTGGTTTGTGTTCCTTTCATGAAAATTAAGTTTATGTAGAGGTTATGACAGTGCAACTGAACTCCAATTTTTGAGTCTTGCTGAAAGATCCTTCAAATACAAGTACCCCTCCCTAGAGGGAACATCTGTGCAAAATGGTTTTTTTGTTTTTTATGCAAGAGAAGATCTTCAAGAATAATAGCTGCTATCAGAGTGACTAGAATCCACTGGTCTAGTGGAAAGGGACTTTGCCCGTGGAATGGAGTTTGGAAGTAATGATTACTAAGGTCCCTTCCAACCCAAACCATTCTATGATTTGGTGAATATTTAGAAAAATAGAAAGCATAATATTCCAAAGTTGAATGCAAAGTAAGAACAACAGTTAAGAATATAATTAAGTATATATTACCTAGGCAAGCCAATATATAAATAATAGTTTTCAAAGAGCAAAGATATTGCTGGTGCAAGAGAAACATGCCAAGTTATTTCCAGAGAGAAAGAGAATGACAAGTAGAAAGTGGAGATGGGGGACTAAGAATTACAATTTATCATGAATGGCACATACAAAGGATGATCAAGAAATTATGATGTAACAAAACCAGCATCTAAATTGTTTACCTGACCTTGATATCCAGTACAATTATTCATTTCAGTGACTGGTAATGTGTTTCATCAAAATCCTTAGGCTTGGTCCCACTTCCAAAATACATAGGAGCCGATGGCAAGCATAGTCATATACTTTTGTTGGGAGCTCTAACAAGCACCTTGGGGACAAGAGTCCTTCATTTTCATTCACATGATGATAACACTGAAAATACTGTCAGAAAAAAATAATTGGAAAAAAGGAGTGCTTTAAGACTGTGAAGCATTTTTTTTTCTGCTGTAGAGGTTTGAACTGTGCTTATTATCCTGACACCACAATTCTGAGATAACTTGTAGCCAGGGAAATGTGAGGAGTTTGCCAACTTGTGAAAACAAGAGCTTTCCAAGGCCTAATGAGTAATTTTCAGGGCGGGGAAACAGTATGGAACAAAACCCCAAATACATGGAGAGGAAGGTGAATCACTGACATCTTAAGCACTGTGCTCAATATCTGGCCTTTTACATTTTCAAATGTGTACTCTGCTAAGAACTACTCCCTTGGCTTCCAGGAGTGACAGAATTGTGGCAAGGGGACCATCACAAGGGTTTTATCTGCTGTCAGTAAACAAAAAAACACCACCACCCTTCTGTTACTTTGTTCTGCCTCTCAGAAGCCTCTGGTTAAGTCCACTATGCTCTGTTAAGTTTCCAAATATGACAGTGTAGACATCAGTGGAAGACTTTATAAAGAATTACACAAGAGTAGGAGGCACAAAAGTAAAAGGAAGCTTTCTAGAATTTTTATCTTGACAATTTCTGTGTCCTGGAAAGTACACTGTAAATGAAGCATTTTCACTGCCTAAAATAAAGATTAATTCTGTAGGTTTCTTAAATCAAAATGTCAGTAAATAAAAATTTTAAAAATCACAAATATGCCCAAGGGAAAAAGTATGCGAATCACTTCCTAGACCTTCACATTTCAGAAGTTACCAATGGTTCAAAATGAGGCATGAGGTAAGTTTTTTCATGTAAAGCTACCTCTGATTAGCCAGCCAGCTGCTAAAGCTGATGATTAACATCTGTCATTGTTAATTTGCTCACATTTTGTTGCTGCCACATCAGCTCAACACTTAGTGAAGATAAGATGGCTGATAATTTTTAGGAACAAAAAATAAATAGGATATGAAGAGCCAATAAAAACGTCTAAAATCAGCAACGGTG